TTGAGGTTCACTAGGTAGACACAGTACGTCTATGTTACTTGAAGGCCAACTTGAATGTACCCAGTGGTTAGCAAGTCGTATCAGGTGTCATTCAAAAACATTGCGGTGTTTGCTTTGGTTGGCTTCCACATATAAATGTATTGATTCAAGATCCAGAAACCACTGAACTCAAACAGCATCGATCGATTGGCGGTAATTAACTAAAAATATGAAGTAATATGTGGAGGAGGAGTAATATAATATATGATCTTACGATAAAATTTAGGAGTAACAGGAAAGAGGTAATCGGACGTTGTACGCAGGAACACAAATGTAAGAGGGGGAAGAAATGCGGATCTCAATAGGTGGTTTAGCGTTTTGTTTGGGGAAACGTCAGAAAGTCGTCTGCTCAGAGTGTGGCGCCTATAGTTAGATTGTATGAACTTTGGCCATTGAGCAGTCATCAACCTGCCGTCAGTATGCGATTGAGTGGGTGATCGCTTCACTCCTGCTTACGTGAAAACAGCTTCTGTAGAGTAGTTAATATCCCCAAACGGAATTTGTTGTTCGAAGACTGCCCGGTACTTACTTCCATCATCAGTCGTTTCGGGATTTGTGTTCATTTGTGGTCTGAGTATCTTGAATCTGATTGATTAGTTGGATTGCTTCATTTCGATAGTTTTGTTGCATTATTTCTATCGGCCTATTGTGCCCTTCTTGCGTTTCGGTCAGTCTTCGTGCCATTTGATTGGTCGATTGGGCATATTTTCCAATGAGCCAATCAGGTGCAAGGTAATCAAATCATAACGTGACATAAATCCCGAAACTGACCAAATTTGGCGACAGACTATCTTCAGACAACCAAACCTGCTGCGTGTATTAATTACTGTATAGAAACTGTATGAACGAGAACTGACGATTTTCTCTGCATGGTGAAGAAATGTTTGCAAGCCAAGTGGGCAAACAGGTTGACCACCACGTGATAAACAGCCAATCAATCCAACCGAGCCACCAATATTTAGACAGATTGTACGAACCTGAATAACAACGGTGTAGGAACGGTTCGCGCGGAAAAACCTTTCGTGTCCTATCCAGTTTGAATCTTGTATTGAAGTGATACTCTTAAAGTCCTACTTGCCCTTCGGTTTTGCACAGACGGTACTGATTTCGATCCGGTTTGGTAGAGGTGCCATTTTTGACAACACATTGGTCCTGGTTATCTGTTCTGGCAAAATCTCTTTTAGGCTTTTTCCTCGATCAAGGTTTCGTCTTGTAACTCTAATCAGTCTGCCCCCCCCCCAAAAAAAAACATCCTAGAAGCAGCGATTCGATTTGAGAATTTGATTAGTTTCTCTGTCGGGTTTTGTTGCTTCACCTTCCTGGTATTTCAGCTGTGTGGTGGGAATCCGGAAACGGGATTTCTCGCCCGCTTTTTTCGAAGCTGACAATTTAAAAAAAACCCCACATCTCTGTCTACCTCACTATGTATTTTCGTTTATCACAGAGGCGTAAGTTTATTTTTGATTTACAGATGTGAAGGCTGGGCTGAGTGGGCCGTTGACAGGATTGCACAAGTGGAGTTGGAAGGTGAAGTTTAATGGCGCGCTGGTTGCAATAGGTCAGTACTTTGATGGAAAGGCCTGCACTTGAAACCTAGGGGTCCAAAAGAAGGAACTTTGATCTATCTGTCTGCCAGGAATTTGTAAGCTGGTAACGGAACAAGAACTGGTATCAACTCATGTCATATCACACTGTCGCTGCAAAATTCAACTCTCTTCGATTCTCGACGCACACGAGGTTTGTTAGTCCGTTGTGTGGGGGGTCAGAGAAGACTGGGAGGCTTTAAGAAGCGCAGTTTTCTTTCTGACAGTTTGTCGCATTTAATCACAGCGGAATTTCTCCCACTTTCTTCTCACTCAGACTAATCGTTAGGTGGTGAGTGGCTTGATGAGCAACTGATCGTGCTTGGTATTTCCGGGGAATGCATCCGGGCGACGTGCAGTTATGTGAAGGGATGTAATTTTCATTATTGATCCATTTTTGAATTGATCTTTTCAATCCAAAGACTATGGTGAAGTTTCCATTCAGATGTCATTTGCGAATCCCTACTACACGAAAAGTGACATGTCCAGAGTAGCGTACTCGGACGGACACCAAGTGATCCGGGAGGCCAAGGTTTCCAGCATAATAAATCCTTCACAAATCTGATTTACACCAGGTTTTCAACAAGTGTCACCCAAGAGGTGGTAGGCGACCGAACATGTGGATGACTACTGTGTATGGGGGATTTACCATGATATCTACTTTGAAACTAGTTAAGGTTGACAGAAACTCGGCGACTGCATTGGCCTGATAAGCACCGGCGAAACTGGTTGTGGGCTGTCGGAAAGTTTCCAGCAACCCTATGAGTAGTATATTACATACAGTTTGAAAGTAGTTTGAAGGTTTCCGTAAATTGTTACTAATCGATCAGCATGCGCACAAAACAGTACAGTCATGTGTTAGTTTGTCTTCTATCAGAAACCAGTTGCAGAATTGCTTGCTATATTGTATTAAGGCGATAGATACACAACAGCTTCTGATACAGTATCGAGTGCGATGGAGCCGAGATTCCATGGCAATCTACTTGTTTCCCACAGTTTGTTGACCGTCACACAACCATACCAAACTTGGTGAAAAACTTCAACCCGCCCCGAGCGGTGAATAGCGATAAACACCATGTCAACCGCCTTTTGATCACTGGAGAATGAGTAGGTTTTTCTAGGTTCTACTGTTTGCTTGACAGTTAAGGAAGGGTGAGAATTTGTCAGGGTTACCTAGCCCCCCAAGAGGAGGGATCTTTCTGACAAAGATGTCAGGAAACTATGATATTTTCTCATTCACACGCATGATATGTGTGTTATTTTAAGTAGTCTGTCTCTGTGTGCTTAACATATCAGCAAGAAGCGAAAATATCAGAACGAGTTCTGCGGCATGGCGTTTGTCAGAGGAGCTTGTCGCTCTCATGCACATGGTGCGGCGACCCGAAAAAGGCGCACACATTGGTCTCCCTCTGTTTGTCTGCCCGCCTACCTGCCTACCTGCCTGCCTGTCTGTCTAACTCTCTCTCTCTCTATCTATCTGCCTGTCTGTCTGTCTGTCTGTCTGTCTGTCTGTCTGTCTGTCTGTCTGTCTGTCTGTCTGTCTGTCTGTCTGTCTGTCTGTCTGTCTGTCTGTCTGTCTGTCTGTCTGTCTGTCTGTCTGTCTGTCTGTCTGTCTGTCTGTCTGTCTGTCTGTCTGTCTGTCTGTCTGTCTGTCTGTCTGTCTGTCTGTCTGTCTGTCTGTCTGTCTGTCTGTCTGTCTGTCTGTCTGTCTGTCTGTCTGTCTGTCTGTCTGTCTGTCTGTCTGTCTGTCTGTCTGTCTGTCTGTCTGTCTGTCTGTCTGTCTGTCTGTCTGTCTGTCTGTCTGTCTGTCTGTCTGTCTGTCTGTCTGTCTGTCTGTCTGTCTGTCTGTCTGTCTGTCTGTCTGTCTGTCTGTCTGTCTGTCTGTCTGTCTGTCTGTCTGTCTGTCTGTCTGTCTGTCTGTCTGTCTGTCTGTCTGTCTGTCTGTCTGTCTGTCTGTCTGTCTGTCTGTCTGTCTGTCTGTCTGTCTGTCTGTCTGTCTGTCTGTCTGTCTGTCTGTCTGTCTGTCTGTCTGTCTGTCTGTCTGTCTGTCTGTCTGTCTGTCTGTCTGTCTGTCTGTCTGTCTGTCTGTCTGTCTGTCTGTCTGTCTGTCTGTCTGTCTGTCTGTCTGTCTGTCTGTCTGTCTGTCTGTCTGTCTGTCTGTCTGTCTGTCTGTCTGTCTGTCTGTCTGTCTGTCTGTCTGTCTGTCTGTCTGTCTGTCTGTCTGTCTGTCTGTCTGTCTGTCTGTCTGTCTGTCTGTCTGTCTGTCTGTCTGCCTGTCTCTGTCTGTCTCTCTCTCACACAAAAACGACTGCTGCGATGGGTCCGCAGCAAAAAAAGAAACACTGAACCAACCTCCCTCTCAACAAAGATTGGAGTTGAAGCTGCACTGATATTATTGAATTCCATCCAGATCCCCTGTACTCCTCTGCACTAGCATTATGCACTTTTCCATTCCCGTCGATAGCTAAGACTGCTCCTGTCAGCCAGGAGGACAGTGATCCAGCAGGAGAAGTCTGAAGACATCAGCCGTAGAAACTGCCGATCGAGAAAGCAAGAAACCCTGCGCACGACTATGCACTTTGGCTGTTTGTTCGACAATAGTTTGATCTTGAGTCGACTTGAATCGACGTTTCAAAAAATGATGATGGCAAAACTTGGTCGCGTCTGATTAAAACAAACTGATTGTTAACAAACTAAAAAAGAAAGATTTTTTGTAATCTAAGGGAAACTTGACGTAATTTTTGCATACTTGCCTCTATCATTTAGAGTTGACTGAAGATTACGGGAATACAAAGCCGCTCACAGGTGAGTCACAATTCCCCTCAGTTAGGCCAACGTGAGCAGCGTTTCTTCCTAACATGAGCTGAGCAAATTTAGGGAACTACGGTGATTTACTCTATGCACAGTTGCCAGAAAGAACACGTACTCTTGATCACATTCACATCACTCACGTCTGAACAGTCGTTCTCCGGTCCTGGCGTAAATATTCTGGTGAATCCACACCAAAGGGGGGGGGTAAGCACTGGTCAAACCCGAGAGGTTAATTCGAGTCTGGCGTTTGCATCTTCCGGTCTATCTGCAAACCCTCTGGTATTCAAGTAGGAAATAGGATTGATGGGCTAAGTTGATGCTCCACGTTGGGTAGAAAACCGACAATGGGGAGGGTTCATTGAACTTATAAGTAGTATTTTATCAAGACGAGCTATTTCGCTCCGAATACGAGCCAAAAATCGAGTGTTCATGATGTTCACAAGCCGTGAACAAATTTGGTTTTGAGAGCTGCCAATTCTCATTACACCTCATACCGACTTTTATGGTGATAACTATGAGTGACGTGACACAAATTTTGGACATTATTACCAAAAGGAGCACGTATTCCTAAAACCCCTGTACATCATCATCATCATCGTCATCATCATCATCATCATCACCGTCATCATCATCATCATTGTCAACTCTATGAACCGTGTGCTCGCCGTACAGTGGTTGTAGGTGATTCGGGTATGTGGGGTAGGTAGCTGCGTATTGGAGGCGGGAGCTGATAAATTGGTGCGTAAATATAGCACTGTCAGGGGACTGTCATGTGGGTGATTTGGGGAAGGGAGCTATGCGATGAAGGCAGTAGCTTGGATGCATGAGTGCACGACTGGACCATGTCTGAAAATATTTCTAACCATTGATTGACCTG